GTATTTTACCGGTTTAATTTCAAGTTCTGCAGTATAGCCAATACCTTGAGCTTCTGATCCTCTTTGATCCACAGCACTTCCAGGATGGAATGCTCTTGTGTGACGAAACCTGGCCTGGGAAGACACTCACAACAGATCAAAGAATAGATACCACCCAAGTCCAACTTGGTGAACCAATGAGATTTACTGGGATTACTTACAGAACCAGAGATGACTCAAAGACAGCTGCATCCCCAAGGCCCATCAGAGCATGATTGACAGCTCTCTGCACAGCCTGCGGGCAGCTCAAGAGTTTGGAAAGTGTGCCTTCCAGGTGCCTCAGTTGGTCTAAACCTTTTCCAGATAGCTGGCTTGTTTCTGCTTCTTCCAGGCAGCTGGTCTGGCCTCAGAGTCTTGTTTGTAGTTTGGCAAAATTGTTTACGGGACAGGGAGAGGCTTAGTGAGTCTGGTCTGTTTCGTGGAGTTCCTGAAGTATTTCTTTAGGTTGTTTACCTCTCTGTATCAGGAGCTCCCCTGCAGAATGGAATGTTTTGATCTTGAAGGAAACTGTTACACAACTCATGCACCACCACACAGGCTTATGTAGTTTCTAGGGACCAAGTTTAGGGCCTACGATGATTTCAGGCTCTGACCTACATCTCCAGCTTTTACTGTTTTATTTTAAAGCATATGGCAATGTATCAAAGATCCTAAGGAACTGGTATCTTTTCATGTTTTGTTTTTTCCTTTTGAGACTTGTTCTCATGTAGCTCAGGCTGGCCTTGAGCTCCAAATTCTTCTGCTTCCTGTCTCAGGTACTGGGATTACAGATACACGCACATGACGTATGCTTGTTTGTGTGTGTGTGTGTGTGTGTGTGTGTGTGTGTGTGTGTGTGTGTGTGTGTACAGCTGGTGGAACAAATATCTTGAGGGACACACTGGGGGGAATAGTTATCTTGAGGACACACTATCATTCATGTTAGCAGATGGATAGGGCTTTATACTCAGAACTGTTCTGGAATTACAATTTAAAAAGTTATCAAGGAAAATGAGAGTTAGGAGTATGTTGATAATGCACCTTATTTCAATTAAAACCTATTCAGGCTGGGTGTGATGGCTCATACCCATAATTTTAGCACTCAAGATGTTGAGGTAGGAGGATTGATATGAGTGTGAAGTCAGCCTGGGTTACTGAATGAGTTTCTTCACGAAATCATGGGCTATAGATAGTGATCCCCTCTCAAAAAAGCCAACCAACATACTAGAAACAATGTAATGTTATAGCCCGTTTAGGAAACTCTTCCCGGGTGACTTTTGCAGCCCAACTATTGCTTTAGGTAGTAGGAAGTTTGGGGAAAAAGACATGAATTTTTAAATTGTATAGTCTAGTATTATAGATGTAGAACAGTGATTTATCTCATCCCTGTGTAAAATAACATTGTAACTGCTTTATAAAACAGAGTAGTGAGCATGTTTTATCAGAGTTAGAATTTAAAATTTTACTCATTTATTTTATGTATTGATGTTTGGCCTCCATGTACATCTGTGTACCACATGTGTGCCCAGTGCCAGCAGATGCCAGAAAAGTGTGTTGGATCCCCTGGGGCCGGAGTTAACTATGGCTGTGACTCCCATGTGGGAATTGAGCTCCAGTCCTCTGGAAGAGCAGCCAGTGTTCTTAACTGCTGAGCCATCTATTCAGGCCCCACACCCAGCTTTATGAGGTCCTGTGTATTAAGTCCAGACCTCGGCTCTAGGGATAAAACTCAGAGCCTTGTGTATCCTAGGTAGACCCTCTAACAACTGAGCTGCATCCCCATTATAATAGTAATGAGGTGTGATTAAAAACTACACGTCAGGCACTATTTTGAAAACAATTCTTGGGAATACCCAGTCCCTATCCTTCATTCTCACAGTATGTCTGAGCATTAAGGTAGTCTCATTATTTCCACTGGACAGAGGAGGAAAGCACACAGAGCTTAAGAAAGTTGCCTCAGACCACAGAGTTGTAACAACATGGTCAATTCTAGTGCAACTGTGCTCTTAGGAAAGTACAAAGGTGGGTGTGGTGGTGCATGCCTATAATCTCAGCACTTGGGGGATGGAGGCAGAAAAATGGGTCCTCAAAGTTATTCTGGGCTATATAGTCTGTTTGAGGCCAGCCTGGGCTACAGGGGACCCCATTTCAAAACAGCAACTAAAAAGTGCTTTTCTGCAAGCTGGGCACTGTTGGTACATGCCTTAAATCCCAGCACTCGGGACACAGAGACAGGTGGCTCTCTGTGAGTTCAAGGCCAGCTTAGTCTACAGAGCTAGCTTCAGGACAGGCTCCAAAGCAATACAGAGAAACCCTGTCTCAAAAAAACAATAAAAAAAGAAAAAAATTAAAAAATATTATATTCAAAGATATTATCTTTTTCATGATCACATGAGTAGGCCTGAACTTTTTTTTTTTTTCAAAAGGTGAGTTTGCAATGCTTGCAATGCTCTGGCAGAATCATTTACTTTTAGAAATGTCCTGTTCAGTATTCCAGAAATATTCAGGGCTGGAGAGAAGACTCAGTGGTTATGGTTCCTAGAACCCACATTTGATGACTAACAACTATCTGTAACTTCAGTTCCAGAGGATAAGCATTCTCTTCTGGCTTTTGAGGACAGCTGTACACACATGCCATACAAATACACATAACTTGGCAAGACGACACACACCTATAATCCCCGTTCTAAGGAGGCAGAGGCAGGAGAACCGTAGTGTGGTTGAGATCAGTGTGTGCCATGTTGCAAGGCCGTGTCTTAATAAAAATCAGAAATAAAGCGAGGTGGTGGTGGAGCACGCCTTTATTCCCAGCGCTTGGGAGACAGAGGTAGTTGGAGGCTGGCCTGGTCTACAGAGCAAGTTCCAGGACAGCCAGAGCTATTACACAGAGAAACACTGTCTCGAAAAAAAATAAAAAAGAAAAACTATTTGTCTCTTGTGTATCAGGGGACACTGAGGGAAAATTAGGCTTTCTGGGGAGGACTTCGAGGTGAGAAAGCAGGTAGGTCTCAAGGCGGGAAATTTGGAAGCAGGAGTGCGTGATTTCAGCACCAGGGACAGAGCCGATGCTTCCTCAGGACCCTGGACAGAGCAGCCAATTGAGGCTGCAGGGAAAACTCAACCACATTGGACCAAGAGAAGCCTGAGCGCTCACCTCGTTCTTCTACTTAAATTCAGGAGATTTCAGCCACCTACTTTTGAACTTCAGGAGCAGAGGTTCAAGGAACAGATATTGTAAAGGCGCTACCTAACCGGAACGGGTTATGCAAATAAAATGGCTTTGGTTGTTACACTTGGAGAACTCCGAAAAGATCTTATAAAAGTCCCAATGGGGAATAGGGCACTGTTAATGATGCTTACTTATATTTTTTCAGCTAAGTAGCAGAAGGCTCACCATAGTCTTTTTTTATCCCCCAAAGTCCTGTCTAATTCATTTTACGCTAAAAACTTTAGTCTCGTGCAAATCACTTCGTAGAGGAAAATATTCATCATAGTCACTGATTCTCCTGCTCATCTTCCATTTCCTCTCACATCATCTTTTTTCTCTTTCTCTGATACACACGTGCTCATGGGAGCACACAGATACACGCACAGTTGCAGCGTGTGAACCACAAGAGAGTCTACACATTTGTAGAGAAGATTGAATTCAGGGTAAACGGATGCCCCTGAAAGCAGGCTCTGTCCCTTTAAATGGGTTGTAGTCGTGGGGGAGGGGAACTGACCGGAGCTGGCATTGTCCAGTTTGAACTGAGCACCGGAAGTGAAGGGGCAGGGCCAGGGCCGTGCACTGAGCCCCGGGCCATTGTCCATCTCTGACCAGGGCAGCGGCCACCCCCCCGGTCCACCCTCTTTATCTTCTAGTAGGGAGTTTACCTCTTCAAATGAGAACCTCCCTATCAAGTCCTTCCTCCATCCACACTACCCGGAGGGAAGCGCAATTTAGGATGGTGACTGAGAACAGGAGGGTCTGGGAATCAGAGTGTCCTGGGTACTGGAGGAAGTGCCTCCACCCACAATCTATTGCCCTCTGCCAGCAAGGGATGGGACAGGACAGGACGCGGCGGACAGGATGAGAAAGCAGCTATCACAGAGGGACTCTTCCAGGGATCCCCCATGCTCTCCCAGGAAGCTCTCTACCTGGGACCAACTTTAGATGCAGGCTTGGAAGGAAGCAAAGGATTCTTTGCACAGAATCAACTAGGAGCTTGTTTCTGATTGGGACAAACCCAGCGAAACTGATGTTGAGACTTGGAGATGGAGACATCTAGTTGTAGTCAGAGGCAGACCGAGTTTGAGAGGCAGCGCCTAGGTCAAGACAAATCTGCTCTGTGGGGTCTCCAGCCGCTTCCCTGCACCCCTATCCTGGCTTCCTAGTGTCCAGAACTCCAGGTCTATCTAAGCACACGGGGGTGGGTGGTGAGAGCAGGTCAGCGACAAGCAGCCGGGTCAGCTCGGAGGCCTGCGGGGGAAGGGGGGAGGGGCGCTGAGGGACTGGGGGAGGGGGAGGGCTCATCCATTTCTCCCTTGACAGGTGGTTTGTGTTTCTGATTGGACAGCGCCACCAGGCTCACACCTCCCTCCCCCAACTCTCTGGAATGTATAATTATCTGCCCGGGGGGTGGGGGTGGTGTGGTGGTGTGTGTGTGTGTGTGTGTGTAGTCACGTGGTTACAAAACTACCCCCCCCTTAGGTCCCCCACCTGTGTCTGCATTGGGTACCCATATTGAGTCCTGAAAGTGCAGGATCCCAAATTCTGGGGTACTCAAGACTTCTAGGGCAAAAGAACCCCATCTCCAGATGTGTGCTTGTGGAGGGGGTGTCAAATCTCAAGGTTCTGGGAAGGGACACCCCAGAGGTGTCAGAGACCAGAGCGGTGGGGGAGGGCGGGAGCCAGAGCCGGAGGGAAAGGGAGGGGTAAGGAGAAGGGAGGGGAGGGGAGGGGGCTGCCCGCGGGGGGTTGGGTCATTGTCTTTTAGAATTTGGGAGCCTTTGAAAAGCCGTGGGCCCTCCCACCGCTATTGTGCGGGGGAAGATGTAGCAGCCTCTTCTCCGAACCACCCCTTTGCCTCCGGACTTCTCTGGGGCCAGCAGCCGCCCGACCTGGGGCCCGGGGCCACGGGCTCAGCCGACGACCATGGGCTCGGTGTCTAACCAGCAGTTTGCAGGTTCGAGCTTGCGATTCAGCGGGCACACCTTAGGGTGCAGGGCGCCCAAGAGCTAATTAGAAGGGAGGTGGGAAAGTGTCCCACGTATTTGCCCGCGGGACCCCAAGTCTCTGCGGCCTCCTGCTTCTTGGGGCCATCTCTGGAGCAGGGAACCCTGGTGTTCCAGTGGCTTGTGCGCGGAGCCCGTGGGGGCGGAGGGAGAGAAGAGGAGGGGCCTGTCCCGCCGCGTGTGCACGGGCAACATGTTGTGGGAAGACAAGCAAAACTTTCGGGGCATCAGCATCCTCGGTGTAAGCTTGGGGAGGCAGCCAGGACAGGTTTCTTGTTTCCAGCTGTTTGGTAGCTGCCTCCTCCTGGGTGTCTTATCTGCGGGCTCAACACCGAGATCTCCCAGACCGGTCCCAGAGAGGGCCCTGTGATTGCTTGGCCCCCAGCTGATCACCTGGCCCTCCCTGTCTCCAGGTGGCTGCGCCAAGGCAGCGGAGAAGGCGCCCGAGGAGGCGCCGGCTGACGCGGCCCGGGCGGCAGAGGAGCCGCAGCTGCTGCACGGGGCCGGCATCTGTAAGTGGTTCAACGTGCGCATGGGGTTCGGCTTCCTGTCCATGACCGCCCGCGCCGGGGTCGCGCTCGACCCCCCAGTGGACGTCTTTGTGCACCAGGTGAGAATGATTCTGGTAACTTAGCTAGGAAAAAGAAAACTGGGAGTTACATATAGGCTTGGCCGATGGCCGCTCCTGTTGGATTGGGAGAGATAAAGGATCCTCATTGTGCATTCCTATCTGCTGGGACACCCCGATTTTAAGTTTGAGTAACTACAGTGGAGCAAGGAGAAGGCACCACTGATTACCAGCACCCCCTCCCCGCCCCCTTCCGGGAACCCCTCTGGCTTACCACGTGTCTATTACCTCTTTTCCCCTGGGAAGGGAGCAGGGGGCAGGGAGGTGACCCCATGTGGCAGAAACTAAGGTTGTATTGTGCTTGCCGGTGGGGGAGGGCGAGCAGGCCGATGAGGGAAGCACATGCAGGGCCTCTGCGGTGCGCTAGAGCCTTGAGTTCTGAAGATCTGAATGTAGTTTACAAGGCGGCAGAGTATGGGTAATTTGCCACCCTACTACCCACGGGCATGAACCTGTGAGGGCAGGCTCTTCCCCTGTTTAGTGCAGATCTCAGTCAGGTGGCCACCCAAAAAGCCAGGTCCTGTGGCCACTATAGATTTGGCAGATCCCGGAAGGATCAGCGTGTGGGCTGAAAAGCTCCCGTAGAGGGTTGGATTTCAGTACAGGACTGGCAGGCACCTCTGCTGTCCACCAGATCCTGCGAGGAAGGAAATCCTTAAGAGCCCAGGTCTTTATTCCTGGCTGGGCCAGCCTAGGAGACTTGGGTCGGTGCAATCCCAAGTTCTCAGTTAAAGAAGGGCTGCGCAGTGGGGAGTGAAATTCAGTGTCGAGGGGGCAGGCTGTGGAAGGAGGCTGGCCTCTTGCCCTATTCTCCTCAGCTTGGCATTTATGGCCCCAGACAGCCATTGATTGCTGTCCCTAACATTCCTAACCCTAAACAAGGAAGGGAGCAGAGCCTTCAGGTTTCAATGTTACTCGCCTTCCCCTCTCAACGTCCTACGGACGTTCAAGTGGTCCCCGTGCCTCGGTGGGAATGAGGTTCCTGCTACTCCCCCTTCGATATTTGGTGGTTAAGGCAGGACCAGGAAAGGAGAAATTGCTAATCCCTAGCCCTGGAGCTTGACACCCGGTCCGGGCAGGGAGGGGTTACTTCAGGGAGGTTAGCTTTAGGAGCTGTGGGGGAGGGGAAAGGAGGATGTGGGGATTAAGAGTTGGAGCCTGAGGGATGGCGTTCTTGAGGGGGAGGGGTAGGGAAGGAGATGCTGGATCGACTGGTTGGAGGCTAGAGGTTGCTGTGAAGACTGAACACTACCCTCCAGTCAGGAGGTTGAGGAGGGGCAACTAGGTGATTTGGGTTGAAGGGATTTTTGGGACCAGTTCTTTGCTGTTGGTGCCATTGGGCTTCTAGAACGTGTGTTTAAGATACCTGTAGTAGTACTCTTAGCTACTTTCTTGAACACCCCCCCCCCATCACTACCACCAGACTGCCGGTTTCTGGATGGTAGTTTTGTGCCCCATCTCATTTACATATGTGAATGATAAGCCACAGGAAGTAATTGTGAGAGAGAAGGGAATTGCCTCTTTACATCTATTAAGTCACTTTATTACAGGAACCAGCTTTGAATGGTTCTCCTCAGCGGGTGGCAAGCTCCCACTCTTGGCATTTATCTGATCACAGAGATTAAAATCTTTCCTGGTCTGGAGATGGGCTAGACAGCCTTCCCAGTTTTGGGAGGCTGGAATATAAAGTAGGTATAAAGCTTCCTTGACTTCTTCCAAAGGCTAAGTAGGGAGTTACGAAGGAGCATGTACTCTCTGCTCTGAGGTTCCTTAGTAGTAGAACAAATTGGAGGGGTGTACCCTCCAGTTCCATAGCAATTGGAAAGCTATAGGACATCACTGGGGGAGAGCAGCAATCTTCAGTACAGATCAGCTTGGAGATCTATGCCCACAACCCAAAGTTGAAGTTTTTGTGTGTTTGGTTTTCTATTTTCTTTTCTTTCTTTCTTTCTTTTTTTTTTAAAAGACATTCTCACTGTCTAACTTTGGCTGGCCTGCAATTTGCTCTGTAGACCAGGCTAGCCTCTAACTGAAGATTTGCCTACCTCTGCCTGGATTTGGGATTAAAGGCCCACGCCAAGTCTCCTGGCTGACACCCATATTTGAAGCAGTTGCCTCCCTAACTGCCATTCTTCCTGCTCTGTAGTTGGTGTTACCACCGCTGATGATGGTGGTTGGGCTGGTCCATGCTCAAGCATAATATTTAGGCTGGTGACCTGAGTTATCTCTGCTGGAAGAACAGTGTAGATACTGGGTAAGCTCTAAAATTTGTTCACTTCTGAAAGAGTGTTCATGAGGTGGAGAGGGTAAGAAGTCTTTAATGGAACTTTGTTCTGGCGATGGGGTGGAGGGGAAGAAACTGTCTCAAGATGACCTTAGTCATGCCATGGAAAGGGAGGGGGTCAGGGATGATCACCAAGATTGAAGTGATAAGGTTGGTTCCCTGCACCCTGTTAAAGATTGTGCAAATCCATGTCCTTGTATATTTTGAGCCAGCACCCTACATTGACTGTAGTGCAGGCATGCCTGGAAGTCACTCTAGCCAAGGTCACCAAAGGAATGTTGGTGTTGGGTGACACTCCTTTGCTTTGGCCTCCAGTGTCTGATTTGCATATGCTTCATTCTCTTCCCAGTGGAAGAGTAGGCCGAGGGTGAGGGGCTATCTATGACCCAGGTTTCTCCAGTACCCAGTATAATTAGCCATTGATTGATCTTATTAGATCTTGAGATCTGTGTCTGGAATTAATTGTAAATAACACATCCCTTGGAAGGCAGAATCACTTCTAATTGAGATGACAAGATACTCATCAAAATGGTTAGAAGTTGCTGACCACTTTTAAGTGTTGGTTTTACTCTGGTTTCCTGTGGCTCCAAATATAGGCCACCAAGATTCATGAATGTAGTTTTTATTTTTAAGGCAGGTTCTTTTGTAGCACAGGCTGGCCTTGATCCTCCTACCTTTGTATTCGCAGTGTTGGGATTATAGGTGTGCACAACCACCATCTGGCCCAGATGAGTTTTTACTAGCTTTTTGGCTTACAAGCAAAGACTATAAAGAACTAAGTTGGGTTTGGACAAAAGTCCAACATTGACACAGAAATTGAAGCTAAAACCGCTTGAGCCACTGTGGCTTGGACCTTCAGAGCAGAAATCTGAGGGTCTAGGTTAAGACAGCTGGGTTACAGCTAGGTTGCAGGATGTGTATAGGATGTTGCCTTCCTGGATTATAACACTGCACCACCCAAGTGAATGTACTTTCCAGAGAGAAGAGCTTGACTATGGTGATTTTTCTTTTTAAAGTATGTTCTTTATCTAAATGAATGAATAAGGAGATGATGAAAGTTTTGACCCTTGGGGTCAGGGGTAGACTGAATGTTTTCCAGAGGAGACAGGGAAGGCTGTAGGTGAAGATGCTTCCTTTCTGGACTGGTTAGAATATGATCTGGTCCCATGTAATGTGCCGAGAGTATTTGTGGGGGTTCATTAAGATCATCTTGGAATCAAACCCAGGACACTCACTACTGTTATTCCCATGTCAATAGGAAAAAGTGGCTTAAAAATAACGTTTTTCTGTAAAGTTGGTACAAAGAAGTCTGCTATTTTGCCATTTTGAAATATTTGTTGTTCTCTCCTCTATGAGGAGACGTCCTCTCAGAGAATGTCCTGGCCAATGCTTTGCCGCCATCCCAAGCAAAGTTTCCAACATGGTAAAACATCTGCCTTGTGAATGAGGACATAGCTGCCTGCACTGTGGTTTTCAGTGACTTGGTCTCGTGTGTAGGGCATGGCCATTACTCCACATACCCAATCAGTTTTAAACGTCATACATGATTTTTTTGAGACACCGTCACCTGCGTGTTGTCCAAGGTTGGAGCAGGAATGTTCATAATTGCACATACCTTTTAAGCATGATTTCACATTGCTGTTAGAAACCAACAGCCTTTTGGTATAAGTTCCAGGAAGCTTTTCATTCCTATTCCTACCCTGCACTCCTTGCTCATGGCCTAGGATCCCAGTTGGATGGGAAGAAAGCCCCATGTCCTTGCAACTCCAGCTTCTTGAGGAGGGTGGAAAGGACCCACCATGAGGAGCTGAGGTGTCAGTGCTAACACAAATTCACTTGCATAGGCTGATGCACCATCTGGTGGACAGCTGTGGAGGAGCATGTGGCCTGGACCACTGAGCAGAAGTGAATAGCAGTTAACCTTATGTTGGGGACATTTGTGATACCAAACTCTGTCTCTAGCAGTGAGGCTTGCTGAAGCCTTGACACCAGTGTCACCGCTGTTAACTCTTTAAAATTAAAAGGTATTATTTGGGAGTTTAAAAGTATATCTAGAAAACATGATAATTTGACTCACCTTATTGGACCTTGCTTGGCTTGCGAATCCAGGCTCATGGCAGTCAGCCCAACACTTGGCCTTTCTTGATACTATGATCAAGGTGCTTATTTTTATCTGAAGCGCCTGCTTGGAACTTCTGTCCCAGACACTCCCTCTGCCTGGCTCTCCCAAATATATACTTGGCTAGTCCCCTCACTTCATTAGGGTTTCTGGTCGGATTTCTCCTCTGGTTGTAACTCACTCGGGTTTGATAGGGATGTTTATCACAGTAACTCATCTGCACAGTCAACATTGATCTGCGTTTTGGTTACTAAACCCAGAATTGGTCAGAGACACGCATGGGGTCACCGGAACTGGAATATCCCAGGGTGCTGGTGAAGAGGAGGGAAGCCCTAGTTTTGGGCCTGGTCAGCCCGGTGGGTGGAGTACAATGAAAAGCGGAGTGAAACTGGGTGTGGAGCTGGAAAAGGCTGTTGGGTATAATACTGGACTGGGGTATTTGATGTAGGGGGGGTGGGGATTCGTCAAAAGAAAGAAGCAGAAGGCCGGAAGTGCTGTAACCAAAGGAGAAGCACCAGGGAGGAAACTGTTACTAAGTGTCATCCCCCCTGCAGCGGCCCAAGCAGGCTGCCCACCTGACTAACTTCAACAGGTTGGAAAAGGAAAATGGGATTCCTGACTTCCCTGTTCAAATGTTTATCTGCTGCAGCTGCGGGAAGGACCTGATAGAAGGCGCTCTTGGGGAGGCAGCCTCTTTATTAGTTCATCCTGGAGGTACGGGGAGGGAAGATGTCTGTTAGTTGACTAGCAAACTTCCCCTTCCTGGGGTCTGACTGGACAAGAGGTTCCGAAGCCATTTCTCTCACCCTGACCATAGTGTAGAGGAAGGAAGGAAGGAACTGGTCCCGTTTGAGTGTGGGGGAGGGTGAAGGAGAGCCATCCTAGGGGAATCTGTGCCTTGGAACTCCAGGAATCCGACCACCAGAACCAACCGGTGTCAACCCTTTGTTCCCTGGGGCTGGGCTCTATTGGGGGAGCTCAGGCCATGCCCCTCCCCCCCCAGTGCCTTTTCTTTTTGGAGGGGATGGGGAGAGGGGCGGGGCCCATCTTTGTGTGTGGTTGGGGGTGGACGGGGTGGCTGAAGAATTTTCAGGCTCCTTTTAGATGCTGGCCCTGGGAGTCTGGCTTGGTGGGGCTGCACACTGATTACCTATCTGATAAGAGAAGAATTCAAACTATGTTTTAGAAAGGAGTGGGGGAGGGGCAGCCACCCCTGGAGACCACCAGTTTAAATCCTGCCTAGCCTTTATGTTGAGGTACTCACAGAGGCTGTTTTAAGCAGATCTCTAGTGGTGGAAAGTCTCGTTGCCTTACCCATTTATACTGTCTCCCTTGGTCTCACAGTGGGTTTGGACTTCAGAGAAGGGCTGGGTTTGTTTTTTGTGTGTTTTTTTGTTTGTTTTTTGTTTTTTTGAGTTCTCAAGAATGGTTAGTAATAAAAGCAGAGTTAATCTGAGCATCCCAACACTTGGCTCTTACTGGTACCCTGTCTCCATCTAGCCTGAAAGGAAGGTAATTGGTCCTCCCACAGGATTTTTACATGGCCGGTGAAGTGTTAATTACTTTTCAAGTGTAAAACCTCACAGCATCACCATAAAATCAGTATATACTCCATTTTACAAATGAGTAAGGAGGGACCAGGCTCCTCCACTCAAGTCTTAACCATTTATCTGCTGGATCTCAGCTGGAGCTTGGCAGGGGCCCTGAAGGATTGGATTGTCTGGGAAGAAGGAAGGCTCCTCCAATACCTCATTAGCTAGCTGTCTTGGTTTTAAGGTGGTTTCTGTGCAGTGCTGGCAGAGAGGTGGGTCTTTTTGAACACTGTGTTACTTTTATTTCCTCTTAAGGTTTTACCCCCTTGCTCACATCAAATTGAGGCAGTAGGTTAGAAAGTCACCACCATGTTCCTGTGGGTGTGAAAAGGGGGGAACCTAGATTGGGTATGCTTAGTGAGTGTATGACCTGGATCATACACATATACTAAGAACCCTTTATAAAAAAAGTGAAAGGATGTGTCTTGGGAATATTTCTGTGATAGGACAATTGCAAATAATCCTGAAGTGTTGACTGAAAGCTTAGTAAGTCCATGCCCATCAGGAGCTGGACTTAATTGATTCTGCTTTAAGATGCCCACTATGGGCCTGTATCTGTTATTCCAGCATTCAAGACGCGAAAGGGGAAAGATTTCCAGTTAAAAATAACTGCTCTTTGAGTTCTAGGTCTACACAGTGAGTTCTAGACCAGCCAAAGCTACATAGTAAGACCCTGTCTCAAGGGGGGGGGCAAAGAAAAGGCAAGGAGAAAACCTTATCTATTTTTGTGAGGAATCTTAAAGGCCCAATTTATTAGCCTAGGGTATGGGATATGATGCCCAAGCCTGTGCTGTTCACCAATACCCTTGATGGAAGTTTTGTGTAAAGCTCCTAAATTAAAACGAAAGTTGCCTTGTGTGGTGGTGGTGGCACTTACCTTTAGCAGACAGAGGCAGGTGGATCTCTGTGGAGATCTAGAGTCCAGCCTGATCTACAGAACGAGTCCTAGGACTGCCAGGGCTACACAGACAAACCCTATTTCAAAAAACAATCCTCCCAAAAAAGAACCTCAAAAGTTAGAATGATTGAAGAATTTGTGTCCCACCTGGCTAATAGTTATTATAATTTTTTTCTTCTAGAGCTCTAGTATTCTACCAATTCAAATACTAGAGGAACTTGTTAATGCTCTCTCAGGTAGTCCTGGCCAGGTGTAGTGATTCTCCCTGCCCCCCCTTCTGTTCTGTGGGGGGAGGGGGATAGGGTCTCTAGATAACCATGTCTAGAACTCTGAAGATCAGGCTGGCCTCACGTGCACTTCCTCTGCTGAAATCAACCAAGCCTGGATGGATCATTTACTTTTTCTTTCTAGGGAAGAGAACCATTTAGTACTACACAAGTACTGTACCATGTCCTGTGGCGACTTCCTTTTTGACATTGTCACATGGAATTGGAATCTCTTATGCTAGTTTAAGCTGTGGTAAAGACTGTTCTGGGAAGGGCCAGGAAGTGCTGTCACCTGCACTAATAAATAGTGGATCTGGTATCCAGTAAGGTGGCAGCTGTAAGCTTAGGGGTTCTGGGTTCCTCGATGCCTAGTGACCCTCTTTTTTAAAGGGGCTGGACCTGTACAAATTGCTTATAGCTATCAGTGTTTTTCAAGTTTCAGGTAGGTAGGGCATGCAGTATTTCCAGAAACCATTACATTACAAATTGTTCTAAATCTTTTTTTCCATTCACTATCATCATTCCAAACCAGATAATTTACGATCTATTTCCTTGTTTCTGGGCATGTATATGTGGTCCCAGCTGTTCAAGAGGCTGTGGCAGTTTGGGCAACACGGTTGTCAAAAAAATAAACAACAACCTACCTCATTGCCATGCAATACACATGTAATTATAGCACTTTGAAGGCTGAGGCAGGAAAATCATGCATTTGAGGCCAGTCTGAGTGGTATAGTGAGACCTTGTCTCAAAAACCAGAAACCCATTCTTCATTAATTCATCCAAAAATGTATCCAAATGAGGTACCAAAGTATGGCATGAACAACAAAAAAGTCACTGGCTTTTGTTTTAAATTTGTGTGTTTGTGTGTATGCAGCACACGTGCCACGCTGTACCTGTGGTGGGGGTCAGAGGCCACGTCTGTTTTTCAGGCTCGCCAGCAGCTGACTTTACCCGCCAAGGCATCCTGCCAGCTCCCTAATACCTTTTAAAATGTGTATCATTCTATACGTTCTGGCCTTGAGAAACTGTAGGTCCAGCTGGTACTTTCTGCCCAGGCCTCCTGAGTGGGGTGGGTAGAGGTAACACTATGCCAGGCTCACTTGCGGTTGTGCAGTTTTCCCCCTAAGTGGTAGTAGCTTTTTGTAGGTTTGTCTGACTTTTTATATTTTTGTTTTGTTTTGAGACCGACCATGCTGGCCTTGAAGTTGCCTCCCTCCTGTCTTAGCCTTCCTCCCAAACATTGAGATTAGTGCTATGTCATGATGCTGGCTTGTCATTCTTTTTTCTTAGCAATTAGGTAATTAATCCCTTCAGGTATATTTTAAGCTGGACAGTGGTGGGGTGGTGGTGCACGCCTTTAATCCTAGCACTTAGGAGGCAGAGACAGGCAGATCTGAGTTTGGGGCCAGCCCAATCTACAGAGGAAGTTCCAAGCCAGACAGGAGATAGTCACCTATTTCTCCACACATTGCTGGGATGGCTTCATCACATTCCATCTTAGTCCTTGCCCTGAAACTGACTTAAATTTTTAGTAACATTTTCATGATTTCAAATTTAAAGATTATAGGAATGGACAAATTCTCTTTCCCCAGATTCATCCATTAACATTTGCCCTCTTTATTGTGTCCTTATCTCTATACAGTTTTTTTTTTTTTTTTTTTTTTTTTTTTTTTTTGGTAGGGTGGGGAGGGGAAGAGATAGGGTCTCACTGTAGTCCTGGCTGGCCTGGAACTCATATAGATCCATCTCAGGGATTCATCTGCCTCTGTCTGCCAAGTACTGGGATTAAAGCCTTGTACTAACTATCACATGTGGCCCAATGATACCGCCTTAGCAACCATAAATACAGCATTAAGTATGCTTGTCTAAGTATTTTAATGTGTATTTCCTAAGGATGGAGGTGATTTCTTGTTGTTTTCATGGTGACCATTTAATTGGGTGACAGGTATGTGCCTCCATGCTCCGCTGAGTTGAGTTTTCTTCTCATTTGTGAAATGGGGCTGCCGTCTCTTTTCGGTTTTGATTTATGGTGTAGTATCAGAGACAAATAGTAAAATCCTGTGTTTCCCTTTGCTAGAGTAAGCTGCACATGGAGGGTTTCCGGAGCCTCAAGGAGGGTGAGGCAGTAGAATTCACCTTTAAGAAGTCCGCCAAGGGTCTGGAATCCATCCGTGTTACCGGCCCTGGTGGGGTGTTCTGCATTGGGAGCGAGCGGCGGCCAAAGGGGAAGAACACACAGAAACGAAGATCCAAAGGAGACAGGTATGGCCCAGAAGGCAGCTTTCGTGAGTTGCTGAGGATGGTGTCCACTCAGGTGCCATCTGTATCAGGTTCCCAAAGATAATTCCACCTTTGGCAATTCAGTCATGGTTGGTTTGCAAATCACTGCACTGAGATTAGCCTCTTGCTAAGAGTGGCACTGGCTATCCATGCTGACTTTAGTTGAGAAGCAATGACTACCATTGAAGGCCAGGCAGGAATATATACTGAAACCTTGTCTCAAAAATGAAAATAAATAAATAGGGTTGACCAGATGGCTCAGTGGTTAAGAGTACTTAACTGCTGTTGCAGAAGGCCCAGGGGAGGTCTCATCCACTCCTCAAGCTGTACTTCAGTTGGGATCTTTTTGTCTTATAGATCTAGAAAGGGCATAAAGGTAAGGGAGAGGATTATAGTGATTAGCATGGGTGAGGGTGTCATCCCTTAGGAGGTGTCAAACTTCTTCTCATGGCTTTACCATTCTGTCTTGTGCCAGGTGCTATAACTGTGGTGGTCTAGACCACCATGCCAAGGAATGCAAGCTGCCACCACAGCCCAAGAAGTGCCACTTCTGCCAAAGCATCAACCATATGGTGGCCTCATGTCCACTGAAGGCCCAGCAGGTCCCCACTTCTCAGGGAAAGCCTGCCTACTTCCGGGAGGAGGAAGAAGAGATCCACAGCCCTGCCTTGCTCCCAGAAGCCCAGAATTGAGGCACCAGAGCCGGGGCTATTCTTTTGCTATTGGGGAGTTTCAAGGAGAAGGCATCAATCGGCAGAGTGGAGAAAGTGGGGATAGGGTGGGTTGTGGGTAGCTGGCACTGCCATATGTCTCAGGCCGGGGTTCCCAGTATCACCCTGTCTTCCCTTGGTGGGGGGGAAGGGGGGCAATGGAAACTCCAACCATGCTTTATCTAAATGCAAGTGAAGGCTTTCGTGGGGAACTACCCTAGAACCTGCATGCATTAGCTGAGGCTTTAACCTAAAATGACATGTCTTTGAAAGTGGCTGGGATAGGCAAGCTCTTCTGTAGAAGGCTGTGTGATAGTTCCCTTGCCAGACAGGGTGTGAAACAAGTGTAAAACCACATTAATGAACCTACCCACCAGCTACTCTATTCCGTGGGAGGGACGCAAGGTTTTTTTCACATCTTGCTTATTCATAACCCAGTCCTGGGATGTGGTGCTGGGAACGGTATCTGTCTTCTGCTGTTACTACCTCACTCCCAGCGCTTTCTGGGCCAATGTGACTTTAATTTATTTGCTCCCTTGGGTAACTGCACCTTGGGTCCCACTTTCTCCAGGATGCCAACTGCACTATCTGTGTGCGAATGACGTATCTTGTGCGTTTTAATTTTTTTTTCTTAATATAAATAATCAGTTTGTATTTTTGTATATTTTAAGCTAAGGCCCTCATTCCTGCACTGTGTTCTCAGGTACACGAGCAATCTCAGGGATAATAAGTCCACAAGCAGCTCCAGGCCTGCACAGCAGGAAAACTTTTTGTTTTGATCACCATGGAGACCAACCATTTGGAATGCACAGCCTATTGAACTACCTCATTTTTGCCAATTACAGATGGCTTTTCTGCCATATAGTCCTTAAAACCTTTGTCCACCTTAAAATGTTTCACAGGAGGCTAGGTTTTAATTAAGCTACCCATGACTTGATCCCATTTTTTTGGCAAAAGATAGGGAGTTAGTCTAAACAGGAAAAGATGGTACAGAGATGTCAAAAGGCTGGGCCAGGTGAAAGCCACAAGAGTAATTTTTCATCCCAAATCCATCCTTCACCAGATTAGTCAAAGCCTGCCATACACAGCAGGGTGTGAGTGTGTGTTTGTGTGTGTGTGTTGGTTTTTTTTTAATGCAAATTAATGAGGATGAGGTTTTTTTATTTGTTTTTAGATACTGGGATTGAACCTAGGGCCTCATTCATGCTAGAACATATTCTGCCACTGAGTTCTCCTGGTAAAGATACAATTTAAGACCAACACCCTTATTCCCACACTGTGCTGTCTAGGGATGTCCTAGCCTTTCGTAATCTTGGCTTCCAGAGAGACCCCAGGCTAGTGGGCCTCTGTGGCAAGTGTCCCGCCTTGCTGCAGTGTAATGGTTGATAGGTAAAGCAAGAATGGGGGGGTTTTGTTTACATGTTGTGAGATCACTGCAAACCTACCTCACTGTGTTGAAACGGGACAAATGCAATAGAACACATTGGGTGGTGTGTGTCTGATCCTGGTTCTTGTCTTCCCCGAGTGCTGTGACCCCCCCCCCCCCAGTTATTGTATTCGTCTGGCCTTTGTAGGACTTTACTGTCTGAGTTGGTGGTTGCTAGGTGGTCTAGTTGTGTAAATATAATGTGTTGGTCTTCATGTTCTTTTGGGGTTTTATTGTTTACAAAACTTTTTGTATTGAGAGAAAAATAGCCAAAGCATCTTTGACAAAGTTCTGCACCAGATGCCAGCATCTGAAACCTAAGTGTGGGGTCCTCTTCTTAAAGTGAGCCTCTGGAACCCTCTTCCTCTTCCCGTCTCCCATTCTGGATCACATCTTTCCAACCTGAAAATAGCTCCTGTGCTACCCTCTTCTACCTCATAAGAAAACTTACACACATTTACTTCTTGGAATATCTTTACAACTCTTGAATGACCCACGTAAAAATTCTGAAGAAGCCATGAACCTCACTCACCCCTTGTTCCCTAACTCAGTCAAGAGTTTTTGGTTGGTTGTTTTGAGACAGGGTCTCACTCTGTAGCTCAGGTTAGCCTCAGATTCCTGGCTATCCTCCTGCCTTAGCCTCCTCAGTGCAGGTGGCAGGTAAGCCACTTCTCCCTGGCAAGACCATTTCTTGGTACGATTCACTTTTGGCTGGGTCAAACTGACTTAATCTACAACCCTTAGGTAGAGAGAAGCAATTGTGGGGCCTTCCATCTGAAAACCAGAAAAGGGAATATGAATGTATAGTCAAGTCACTCAGGAACTTAATGCCGGTGCAAGAAACTTATGTCAAAGTGGCCACAAGACTGTTACTAGGAGACGGACGAATGTAACTCCATGTTTACTGCTAGAAACCAAAGCTTTGTGAGAAATCTTGAATTTATGGGGAGGGGGTGGGAAAGTGTGTACTTGTCTGTCCTTCCCTGATCCCTTCTCTGTCCTGAACTGCAGGAGACTGAGCCCCTGGGCTTTGGTGGCCCCACCACTGGGGTGTTTATTTCATGGTTGATTTTTACTGTACCCGGGTACTTATATTCCTATCGTATAATCATTTTGTAACACATGCTGACTTTCCCTTCCCTTCTTCCCTGGGAAAATAAAGACTTATTGGTACTCAAACTGTTCTCTCATCAAATATTTAGGATGCTTTTCTCATAACCCCCACCTAGGACTGGGAAGTCACAGAGCTATTCTGTTTTTCCCCTCCCCACTTTGTTAGGGATGAATCTTGAAAGTTCAGCCCTTATAGCACCTCATTACACTGGATTTTTGTTTCTAGTTAAGGCCTCTTGTCCCTTCCTTGGAAGCTGCCACATTCAAGAGGGGATTAGAGGCCTGGCATGCATAAGAATGGGGTTGCCTATGCCACTGGCTGGGATGAAAGGACCAGGCCAGGGCTTAGGGCATGAGACCCTAATAATACTTTGTCCTTTACTCCTCAAAGCCTTTTACAAATCCTAATTAACCCCTTGCAACACCCCAAAAAGGAAAATACATAGAGAACCGGGGAAATTGAGGCCAAAGGAGATCACTGACTGTAAGCCAGTATTTTGAGATACAGTTTGCTGGCTTTCCTAATGCTTAAATGGTTTCCAAAGGATAGGAAGATTTTAATGGGGGGGGGGCTTGACCAGGGGGAAACCTAACTATTAACAGAAAGTGGATTAAATAAATCCTCACACTGTTAGCAGAGCAGGGGGGTTGTGACCCTTTAACTAATTGCACCAAACGTTAAACCTAGCAACCCTAACTACTAGGCTTCAGTGAACAGGGCTTCCTGAAAAATCGTATTATTAGCAGAAACCTCACAGCTCACAAAGGAGAAAGAATGGAAGTGTAAGACCTGATGAATGGGTTATTCATCTCCACAGCTTTGTTTAATCACATTTCCACAATTGTGGAAAAATGGCGGGAAAGCTTCTCATAACACATTTCTGTTAAAACTGCACTTTAATCAGGTACAGCTGAAGGACCGGGAGCGTCTCTATCTTGCCCGGTTTGATTCAGACTACAGGGCAAAGCAGCAAAAGGGTTCGATGGAATTGTGAAATTCCTTTACAGATGGAACCATGATTTGAAACAAATGCATCACATACAGAAAGTTCAGAGACTTTGTTTTGTGTTTTAAGCTTTGAGAAAGTAGAACAACCTCTTATCAGTATCACCAAGCAAAAGGCCATAGGTAAGCTAGATCCAATTTTGTTACATTCCGTATCCAAAAGTTATGCAAGATTTTGGTATACAAATAATGCTTTTGATCTCTTACTTCATTTGACTCTATGGTCTTTTCTATTTTTAAAATTTAGGGTTAGGGTTTTGAAGCTGGGTTTCCCAATGAAACCCCTGCTAGCCTCAAACTCTAGGTCACCTAAACTGCCTTCCACTAACTACCACCATGCTGCTTTGTGCCGGGCTGGGATCAGAACCCAGGTCTTCTGGCATGTTTGGCAAACACCATCTATCCTATATTCCCTAGCGCAATGGCCAGTTAGTTTTAGAAGTAAAGCTCTTTCTTGTTTTAAAGTTATGTGGATCTTGGGAACCTGCAAGTCATGAATTCTGGATGGCTTTAGTCAGCCCAAACAGTGACCAAAGCAAGGAACCTCTTTCTGACCAATTAATACCATTAAATGGGGATAAGTGGAAATACATTTTTTTTTCTTTTTGGATTTTTGAGACAGCGTTTCAGTGTATTGCTTTGGATATTGTCCTGGAACTCGCTCTGTAGACCAGGTTGGCCTTGAACTCACACAGGTCCGCTTGCCTCTGCCTCTTCCTCCCCAGTGCTGGGATTAAAAGCGTGAGCCATGCTTGGCGCTTTTTTAAAAAAGAGAGACAATGTCCTGTACAGACCAGGTTGGCCTTATATATACTACGTAGCAGAGAAGGCCTTGAGCTAATTCTTCTGACCTCAAAGTCTCCTGAACGGTGAGTTGTGACAATGCGCCACCATTTTCTGCTATTTAAACTATATTGTAGCAGAGCTTTAAAAGGAACCCAGTTCATCCCTGTACGGTTTACATCTATAATCCCAGTAGTTGGAGACCAAGGCAGGAGGCTTGCCGAGAGTATAAAGTTACCATGTCCCCAAAATACAAGCACTGCAGTCAGATCTAAATAGAAACTTTCGTTTCTGAGGTGCAGCAGTCGGCCTCCTCCCACTTCCCACCCTACCCCGCTGCGGTTCAGTCCCAGCACCCAGAGCCGAGCAGGTCGACTTCCGAATGCTGGAACGACTCCGGATGCTGGAACGAGCTCCGGGCGGGTCTCTTAACTCGCCAGCTCACGTGACCTGGGCCTTCCAGGCCGCTGTTTCCACGTCCCCGAGGGAACGTCCACCAATAGTCGACTCGCAAGGGCTCCCCCGGAATCCGCAGGCGCATGCCGTGGCCCCGCCCACCAGGGGCGGAGGGGGTGTGTCCTAGCGCGCGCCGGTGACGTGTTCTCCCAGCGCCACGTCGAGAGTCGTCCAGGAGCGGTAGAAAAACGCTTCCCACGGAATCCTAGGTGCAGAGTGAACTAAGAGACTCAGGGCAGGGGAAGCTAGGTGAGCAGTCGGCTGCGGGAGACATTAAGGTCCGGCCGGAGGAGTGATTCTAAGACCACCAAGGGAACAGGTGCGACAGCCGATGGGGGATGGTGATTGGTTAGCCCAGAGTGAGAAATGGCTGGGGGTGGGGAATAAAATAGAGTAGGAAGTTTCTGGGAGAGACCGATACGTGGGCACCGTGGTGTAGCAGCATAGTCAGAAGAAATCAGTGCACGTAAGAAGGAAAAGAAAATGGGTTTCCTGTTGACGTGTACGGCCCATTGTAGTGAAAGATTACACCAGTGTCCCTGGATTCAGATGCTTGCCAAAGTCCAACACCGTCTCTTTGAGTCAGGTTTATTTAATTGCAAGCACGGTGACTTCTCTCTCTCTTTTCATTTATTAAAGGTTATCTGGTTGGTATTTTGTTCTGGGGTGATTTCTTACATAGCAAGAATTATGTCATGGATCAAAGAGGGAGAGCTGTCGCTTTGGGAACGGTTCTGTGCCAATATCATAAAGGTAAGCAGTAGCCCTGAGGGCAAGTTGAACTTTTGGATGGTTGTGTAATCTTGTTAAAATTTATTGTTAAATTTTAGCAATCCCTGTTTTAAGTGGAGTTTAGCAAACTGTGAGTCAATGAATTAAGTCAATTGCATGGATTTAAAATAAATACAAATAGTCAATGAGTACCTCAAAAAAAATGCTTAGCATCTGTAGCTACAAGGTAAATAAAACTCAAAACTCATGGACACTGGTCACACACTGTTAATCCTAGAATCCCAAAGACAAAGGCAGGTGGATCTCTGAATTCAGGTCATTCTGGTCTACAGAGTGAGTTCCAGGACAGCCAGAGGTACACAGAGGAACTCTGTCTTGAAAAACAAAACAAAACAAATAAAATATCATTAAGAAAGAGTTAGAAAGTGCTGGAGAGATAGTTCAGAAGCTAAGAGCAGTTGTTGCTCTTGTAGAAGACTCAGGTTCATTCCCCAGTACTAGCCACAGGGCAGATCACTGTAACTGATAACCTCTTATGCTGGAGGTTCACATATGGTACACAGACAAAACATCCATACACACACAGTTATAGAATTAAAAAAAAAAAAGTGTCTTGTCTCATCCTATACAGAATGACAGACAACAAGAAAATTAAAGAAAAGGCAGGCTTTGGCAAGGATGTACGGACAAAGGAATCCTTCCATATCCACACTACTGGTGGGAATGTCATCTAGTCACCATGACAATCACTAGTAAGGTTCCTCAGAAAGGGAAAAGTAGACTTT